TTGGCCTGGGGGGGGGGGGTTCTATCATTTTAGGGATGAAGCGGATCCCAGCAATACATTATACAGCGAGGTCCCAGGAGGAGGAGATGTCTGTGCCAGAGGGTCTCAGGATGGGGAGATGTGCAGGCTAGTGGAAGTGCTGTAAACAGGCGCTGTATGGTTCCCCAGAAGGCTGTCGTGAGATCCCCAGCAAGTGTGGCACCAAAGGCAGTTATTTCAATAATTAAAGGGCCAGTATTGGTTTTTGGTATGGGGTATTAGTACTCGTGAAAATGCTCGGTATTGTTGCATACCTATGGATTGTTCTTTACATTGCCAAGCAATGTAAGGAATAGAATCTTTTAGTGTGATATAAAATAAATGATTGCTCAGTCATATACTTTCATTAGAAATTCTAGTGATTGTATGACTGAGAATCATTTTATTTTAAATGACAATACAAGTTTCTATTCCTTACATTGCTTGGCAATGTAAAGAATAGTAACTTGTATTCCCCCATAAATGATCGCTCAGCAGCATGCAGGGTCACTCACTAACTTAAGGGCCACATACAAGTTGCATCTTCCAGAGATCTCTGGCAGGCTTCCTCAAACGTGTGCCGTCTCCTTCTCCTCAACTTGGCTCTTACTCTGACGTCCAAGCCTGAAGAGATTCTAATTATTATTATACAGGATTTACATGGCGCCAACAGTTGGCGCACGCTTTACAAGATCACTCCACCGCTGAACTGCGAATGGGCGGGGTGATCTCATTCTAACAGGAGGCGGCTGCGGCCCAGTTGCTAACAGGTCACGGACAAGTACTGGTTCGCGGCCAGGGGGTTGCGGATCCCTGCCATAAATGATCGCATCCAATGTGTATAGATGTGAGGAGGCTGATGAGGAAGATTCCATTGTGCTGCGGAGGAAGAGACTGGCTAGAGAGTGTGCCGTAACAGCTGGCCGGCTCGGAGCTTCAGGCGAGTATAACTTTTTATTATTTTTGCCCCTAGACACAAACGAGCAATTAACCCTTGCAGTGCAAGGATTGGTAAAGTTTTCCTGGAGATCGTCTTCAATCGTCTCCTTGCAAGGATTTAGAATTCATTGTAAAGTGCATACCGATGCTGCTAAGTTTAGAAAAAACTTGTCATAAAAGGGTTAAAAAGGTCAAAAATATGATGGCAATCACTGTTGGCTTTTTTAACATGCTGGCCCAGGGCAGTCATCATTATCTGCCTTCACTACTTAGTAATTCTCTGACCTTGAACATGTATGTGCCTATCAGATGTCCCAACATTTAATTGGCTGCAAGCTTGATTCTTTCCTGCAACTCTTTGATGTAGCGGATAACGGCCCCGGAGCTCACACAAGCGACTTAGCAGTGGCAGCTCACAATTTTGTCCTTCCACGTTTCCTTACAGCCGTATCTTTGAAAATCTACACTAACCCACCCACCCACCCTAGCAATC